ACTAATCATTGTATTCACACTTGTAATCCCAACACTCGGTAGGCTGAGATGGAGGATCTCAAGTTCAAGACCAGCCTGGGCTCTCCAGCAAGGGAAACACATACCTTGAATTTTATGTTTTTCATGTATATGTACACTTTCTAAAAGGTGTATTTTAATTCAAAAGTGAATTAAGATTGGAGGAGATGGGAGCCATTTTAGGCAAGTCAGGCCTTCTACATTGCTATGAGTAGTCACAGCAAGTGTGGGCACCAGCTGGTGGAGGAGCAGGGGAGCCTGTCAGAGAATACTCTCAGCACAGGAAAGCAAATCATGAAGACCTAGACTAGGTAGGTAGATGTGTCCAGAAGATCCATCAGCGGAAGCCTAAGAGAACGGCTTTCCAAGGCTTGAGAAAGAACAAGCCAAAGAAGCATTCAAGCCTCTGAAAGAATAGCGTGGGTGGGAAGGCCTAGGCTCCTACGCCTGCAAGAAAGGAAGAAAAGAGGGACCTGGCCTGGAGAGGTCAGGATATAGCCAAGCTCATTCATATACTTCTGAAGCCTGTGACTGGGAAGGTGAACCCAGAGAGAAGCAGGGATGGTGGGACGAACTTGACTGCCTGAGCTCCTCCCGTGCCCCTCCCGTGTTCTCTCCTTTAATCTTTCTTTTTTCCTTTTATTTATTCCTGTCTCATACAATACATCCTGACTGCAGTCTCCACTCCCTCCACTCTTCCTGGACACCTCCCACCCCCCACCATCCACTACTCCATTTCCCTTCAGAAAAGAGCAGCCTTCCAGTGATAGCAACTGAACACAGCATAACAAGATGTAATAAGACTAGACACAGACCCTCATATCAAGGTGGGGGCAAGGCAATCCAGTAGGAGGAAAAGGGTCCCAAGAGCAGGCAAAATAGTCAGACATCCCCTCTCCCTCTGTTCAGAATCCCACAAAACCTCCAACCTAAACCAGCACAGCGTGCATGCAGAGGACCTAGTGCCGAGTCATGCAGGCCGCTTCAGTCTCTGAGTCCCCATGAGCCTGCTTAGTTGATTCTGTGGGCTGAGTTCTGGTGTCCTCCATGCGCTCTGACTCCTACATTCTTTCCACCCCCTCTTCTGGAGGGTTCCCTGATCTCCAAGGGGAGGGATCCAATAGAGACCTCTAATTTAGACTCTTCTCTCTACATAATGTCTGCTGCTGGAGGAAGCTCTATAATGATGACTAGGCAAGGCACCAATTTATGCATATATCATAATAGTAAGAAACATTTCATTGATTTTTTTTATATTTATTTATGTATTGGGCTGGTCGTGTTTGGTTCTACCGTAGGTCTCTAGGCTTTCCATTCTCTAGTTCCTGGCCATCCAAGCAGTGTAGGGCAAGGGCTCCCTCTCATTGCATGGGCCTCCAATTAAACCAGACATTGATTGGTAGGCCACCCCCACAAGTTCTGTGCCACCCTTGCCCAAGCACATCTTTCAGAATTATGTGGCTGGGTTGGTGTCTAGGTTTCTCGTTCTCTGACCTGCAGAATACCTACCTTCCCGAGCCCAACGGACTAAAGCACGGAGGAGAAGGCTCCATGCAGGCACCTGTCCAACCTCTACATTCCGTGAGCAGTGTGGATGTTGTCCTCAGCAGTGGGACCCCACTGCCAGTTTTCTGTCCTAGCATCAGCATGGGTTGTTTAGGGATCTCAGTCAACAACTCAGTGGAATGCAACTTGGTGCGGGAGAATTGTCTGTATTCTGTCAATCATATTTTAATAAAACGCTGATTGGTCAGGCAGGCAGTATAGGCGGGAAAGCCAGACAGGACGTAGGGGTGGAGCAAAGAGACTGGGAGTATTCTGGGACACAGGAAGCCCTCAGCCACTCCTGCGCAGACCACCGAAGAGGCAGCATATAACATGCCTAGCTGAGAAAGGTACGGAGCCATTATGGCTAACATAGATAATGATAATGGATTAATATAAGTTACAAGGACTAATAATAAGCCTGACCTATTGGGCCAATCAGTTTATAATCTTATGGAGTCTTGTGTGTGATTTTCTTTGGGGTTTGCCGGTTGTGGAGTACCAGGCGGGACAGATACCCCAACAAGCCGGCCTTCATGTTACAGCAACTCAGTCCCAAGACTGAGGCCTGCCTAGCTACACAAGATGGCCAGTTCATACTCCATACCCTTCTTTACTAGGAGCCCTCACTGGAGTCAACCTCAGAGTCCAGGAAGTCTCCGTTTCACTGAGCTTCCACACCACATCCCCCAAAGCCCGCCCCTGGTTCCAGCTGTCTCTTCCCACATTCTCTTCTTCCACCCCCACTACCTGATCCTCTGCTCCTGTCCCCACCCGCCCCCAATCCCCCTTGCCAGGGAGATCCATGCTTCCTTCTAGAGCCCTCCTGTTTGCCTCCCTCTCTGTGTCTGTGAACTGTAGCTGTGTTTGTGATTGTGGATTTACTTAATGGCTAATATCCACTTATAAGCAAATATATACTATATTTATCTTTCTGGGTCTGGGTTACCTCACTCAGGGTGATTTTTTTTTCTAATTTCATCCATTTGCTTGCAAATTTTATGATTTTTTTTTTAAACAGCCGAGTAGTACCTCTTTGTGTAAATGAACATTTTCTTTATTCATTCTTGTGTTGAGGGATACCTGAGTTGTTTTCAGTTTCTGGCTCTTATGAATAAAGCTGCAATGAAAATGGTTGAGCAGGATGGAGTGTACTTTGGATATATGCCTAAATCTTGAGGTAGATGATTCCCAACTTTTCTGAGGAACTGGTGGATGGCTACTTCTTACCATGTCCTCACATGGTCTTTTCTTGGTGCACTCATACATCTGTCTCCAGAGTCCCCTTTTTGTAAGAACACCAATTATACTGGGTTAGGACCCCCCAAAGGACCTCATTTATCTGAACTTCTTCTTCAAAAGCACTGTCTCCAAATATGGTCAGTATGGATTTATTCCATACTACTGCAATTGTTTTCCTTTACCCCTGCATCACATTAATGTAGTAGTATAACAATAGATTTATTCTGTAATTGCTTATAATGTATTTTAATTATACCATTTTATGTGATTTGTTTAGCATATATAATTATAATCTACTTAACATATATAATGTATAATTTCTCTCCATAAGCCATTAGAAGGAAAATTATATTCACTCTGTTACCTAAATGTGTGTCTTGTAGAAATCAGAAAACATTCTCCTTTTGGAATATTTGATGTCCTTTATAATGGTGAGGAGAGAGCTGGGCATGGTGGTGCACACCTTTAACCTCAGCACTGAGGAGGCAGAGGCAGCTGGATTTCTGAATTTGAGGCCTGCCTGGTCTACAGAGTGAGTTCCAGGACAGCTAGGGCTACACAGAGAAATACTGTTTTGGAAAATGAAAAGTAAAATAATACTAATAATGATGAGAATAGGACTGATAAGCATAAAATGGCTCTGGCCCCAGCTGCAAGTTTCTAGACCATTCTCTTGTGAGCCCCTACCCCTCTGAGGCTTGGCCTGCTTCTAGGAAAACCTGCTTTCAAAAGCCATTCAGACCAGCAGGGCCTCTTGGCTTCCACTTGAGGTTCTTTGGCACTGTTGAGGCTTTGGGTCTACATGTGTGTCAAAGACGCAGCAGGCTTCCTGATAGTTGCACCAGCTTTTCAGTCTCTGTACCAACACGACTCAAGACGGCAGGCTTGCTGTTACAGTCTTTTATGGGCAGCCTTGCCCTGCCAAATGTGGACTGCTGTATTTATTCAGAGAGCAGGGTTTATTGACTTGCGTTCTGTTTCCTCTCTAACCCTCCTCCTGCTGTTCCTCTGGCAGCTTGGGATTTCTCCAGAAGTTGGTTCTTGCCTGCTACCAGTTGTGATTAGGGATCTTTCATGCCTTGAGTCAGTCTGTTTTTTTCTTAGCACTTCAGTGGGTGCTAATCACACCAGAGCACTTGTGGTGATTGTTTTAATTGTGAAATGTTGCCAAGAGCTTTAGGAATGCTTGTAATAGTGAAACTTTATTTCCTCTGTTCTAGACAGTGTGCCCAGACCACTCGGGCACAGGTGCAAATCTGGTGAGTTCTTTGCCAGCCCAGGTTGAACAGGTTGTTGCTGCCTCTTTCATAGAACTGTGAGCACAGCCAGCATCTTTCCTCGGGGCCTCCATCCAGGAAGCCATGTCTACATAGTTCTCGGGGCTGCTTTTCTAAGCCAACTCTGCTTAGACTCTCTTGGCTCTTCCTTTCCTACAGGATTCACTCCAGACTCTCTGACCCAGTACTCAGAACCCCCACTACCCAATTTGGTCCATGTTAAATGTGCCACCCTCTTACCTGCTGTTTCTCCAGCAGACTTCTTGCTATCTACTGTGGTGAGACCTAGTAAATCATTCTGAGCACACAGCCATGTTGTGTTGCTGTACCTTTGAGCTCATGAAGCTGTGTCTGCTTGGCATGCGTGCTCCTCTCTGGTCTTTCAGCAAGCTCTTACTCAGCCTTGAGGACTTAGAAGCCAGTCCTAACTACTGCTTCCAGACTCAGATTTGTCTCTTTTCTAGCACTTCCCATCCTGTGTGGCTACATAGCTCTCCCTGTTTCCTAGACAGCTAACTTTACATTTGTATCCTCAGTGTCTGGCTTGGAGTAGACAGTAAACCTCAGGATAAGTGGGTGGATTTGTCCTCAGACAGAACATACGCTAGAGTGAGAAGCCACTGCATTGTCCTTTGCTGTTCCTAGTAATTACCTAAGTGAGCTTTGTCAGAAGGGAAATGCAGGTTTGCGGACCCTGTGAAAAGTCTTACTTAATAAGTATCTCATTCTGAAGAATCCTTGCAGACAGACAGCAGTACAGGCTCTCTGTAACCTTCACGTGAGCAATACATATATGCCCTGAGCTAACAATGTATTTTAAGTCAACAGTTTAAGTAGCAGGTGGACTGATAACCCAACCTGTGTATGTATTTTGCTTTGCTGTTTTGAGAAACTACTGATGTCTGTCTGTTCTTCCAGTTAAACGCTTCCGAGAACCAAAGCATGAAAGACGACCATGGAGAATATGGTATGTACCAGTGTGCTGACTCACTAGAAAGCTCTCTGCTCTGTTGGGGATTTGGTTTGGGGACTGGCAGCAGTGTATTGGGGTAGGTAGGGCATGGAATAGGAGAGATTATGTATCATATAAAGGATGTGGAATTCCTCGCGTGAGTTTTAGGCACGCTGTGTAGTATGCAGCTAGTCCTGTTTTTCCCCTTTATTTATAATGTTGCTTTCGGCAGTGGACGATGACAGCACAAACGTGGCAGCCCCTGCTGCACGTCTCTTCATCTCGACTTGTTACACGATGATTCTTGACTTCTGCAGTCTGTATGTGTAAACAAATACAAATTTATTTGGAGATTCGTCATGCATATGCCAGAAATCCTTAGAATACCCCCTACCAGATGTGACCCAAAACTCAAGGAAACAGTGTTTATATTTCCTGATTTGTTATGAAGGACTCAGATAAATGGCTAGATGGAGCGATTCAGTGAGCTGGGATGTCCCGAGCACAGTCCTGTGACGATGGCTGTAGAACACACCATCCTTCCTGTGTACCAGTTCATTGTTCACTGGTTCCAAAGCACTCCAGGCCCCATGTGCTAAGATCACTAGACTTGCCTGTCTGTTAACTTAGTCTACAGCCCTTCTTATCTCCCTGGAGTATGGTGGGTCTTGATTTAATCACAACTTAGTCTTTCAATGGCCTTGCCATCCTAAATCTTTGTAGGAACTAGTCACCTTTTTAGAACAAAAGAGGCTCCTATCACCCAGGACAGTCCACAGGACTGGCAAGTCTGTGAGAGGACCTGGGCCAAACACCAAGTATTAGGACAAAAGATATTCCTCACACCTCTGGCACTTGGGAAATTACAGGTCCCTTGGGACTCTGGATCAGTGGTGGAGAGTGAGTGTTTAGTGTAGATACTCATTTTGTGCAGGAGGACCCTACAGTAGTAGTTGTGTGTTCATTATGTGGTGGTCAAGCTTCAGAAATAGATCCCAAGGACGAAACTCCCAAACAGTAAGTCATTTGGCAGGAGACAAGCAGGCTTCAGGGAACAGTGTGGGCTACCCTGAGCTCACTCCTGCCCTAAGGAAACTTCCACTCCCCTTCAGAAGACCCCATCACCATGTCAGTAAGCGTGGTAGGAATTGTCACACATGTACTCGCTGATTCTTAAAGAATTGTTACCACAGGTGGGGAATTCGTATTGGTACTCACTCAGTCTCTGATACTCCCAAATCTGTCATTTAGTCCTACTCTCACAGCTAGTGAGGAAACTGAGACCCTCTGCATCTTACGCATGTTGTTTGATATCTCCTTCCACTGCATTCAGGACTTTGAGGCTTGGTCTGGGTGATCTGTGGCTACTGTCCTGTCAGGTTGGTAACCCTTGCTGGTTCTATTTTGTGCAGGTTTTTAGACACTTCCAAGCAAGCCATAGGGATGCTGTTCATCCACTTTGCAAATGTGTACCTAGCAGATCTCACTGAAGAGGACCCTTGTTCACTGTGAGTCTTGTATTTGAATTCGACCTCAGTTGAAAATATGAACTGGCCTTATCTTCCCTTGTTAGTGCAGCCCTCTTGCTTGGGAGATGCACCCATCCCTTCCCTTCTGAATTCCTCTCTAGTTTCATCCTATGCATGCTTTCATGAGTTTATATACTCAGCTTTTGGTTGGCTCTTAGGGCTTTGACAGTTACCTTGTGTGTTGGCTTTCTACTAATCAGTCCAAATTCAGGCCTAGTAGCCCCATATTTCCAGCACCCTCCCCCCAAGCAGGACAGGATAGCATGGCAGGAACAGCTCTGTGCCAGTTACAGAGCACATAGGCTTTCCGATGTGATGTGAGATGCTCATAGGAAGTTGTTGTCGAGCATCACTGACCTCTGACCTAAAAAGCATCCACTGTTCCAACTGTCACTGTGGACTACTTTCCACGTGATGCCCAGAGAAATGTATCTGCAACCTTAACCATGCCCAAGATGCTGTACTTCTTACTAGCAGGAGGAATGGTCATTCCCCTAGCAGACAGAGTGGCAGAGGTTTTACCCCATTCCCAACTTACTCCCCATCTTCAACTTCAAGTTAGAGGTACCAAAAATGTTCACACAGTGCAGAGGTGGTGGAGCTAGACTTCAACCAGTCTGCGCCCAAGGCTCCATGATGCTCTGATGCCTGAGTGGATCTCCTGTGAATACAGAGTAGTTTCCAAGGACAGCACACAGTGGGTTCAGGAAGTATTTAACAAGTATATAAATGAGTGCAAGACTGAATGTACCCATTGTCCTTGGTATTTTTCAGGCTTTACCTCAGATGTGGAAATGCTGGTGTGGATAGCTTTGCTTGCCAATTAGAGCGGTAGCCTCCTGCCAGAGTAGAAGTTGCTTTGGAAGTTGTGACTGTTCTTTCTGACTCTGGTCTGAGAGTGACCTCTTGTGTCTTTAAGGGGGAAGAGCAAGCTGCCTGCCTCCCTCTCCATGCTTGTTTTTTGGGTTCTGGGGACTGAGCACAGTATGCTGCCCTCATATTGGAGAGTTGTGCACAGCACATAGCCCAGGCTGGGGCAGAGGCCTGCTGGTCTGCATGAAGTGCCTCCGTCCTAGCAGCTCGGAAGCCCTGTTCCTGAGCTTGTCTACAGGGAGTCCAGAACCACTGGCGTCACAGAGGGTCAGGACCTGCCTCAGTGACCTCATTTTCCACGTAGTCTCTCTTGGATAGCTGCAGCCTGTGTCCAGCAGTGCTCAGTTAGATCTAGGCATAGGGCCCTTGGCGGGGGGGCAGGTAAACAAGGTGTTTTACCTTGGTGAGAAAAGGTTTTATGTCTGGAGAATGGAAATAAACCTTGTAGGAATGTGTAGTTACTATGGGCATGCCTCCCCACACCCCTTCCTCTGGCCTTTTCTCAGAGCAGCAGAACTCTCACTGAAATATAAAAGTCAAGTCTGGGAGTGAAGTTATGGTAGAGCATCTGCCTAGCATATATACAGAGTACTAGGTTCCATCCCAGCACCACTACAGAAAAGTAAAGCTATTGTTTGCACACATGCTTACAGATGGGGTGAGCATGTGGCTGTGTGACCCTGTCTGCTTTGTCTGAGAAGTCTCAGAAACCATTTTCCTTGAATGCCCTGGGAAAGTGGCACGATTCTATGACCTCACATGGCCTGAACCATCAGGGAATGAGCAGAGTTACTTAATGGATTTATTGTTGTCAGTTAGGTTTTCTTTTCCTGTCAGTTTCCTTGCGACTTCCAGGTACGCTGTCTTCTACTGAATCTTGGCCTTGGCACACACTCTTGGAATTTATAGTCTCTTTGTCCTTCTTGTTCCTGTTCTTCAAGTTTTTAGTGTTCGTGCCTTTTCAGACACCTAGAAATGGAAGCCGCCATTTCCATTGCCTCTTGCATAAATACATGTAAGGGTACCACTCTCCTCCAGTAGGTCAAAGACTGGATCTCTTAGCCTGATCCCAGACCCTGGTAAGTGCTTCACTGAGGCCCCAGCTTAGTGGCTTTTGTTCCCTGACCATGCCGGTATGGCCTCTCTTTCTAGGTACCTCATCAACTTTCTTCTGGACGCCACTGTAGGCATGCTTCTCATTTATGTGGGCGTACGCGCTGTCAGTGTCTTGGTGGAGTGGCAGCAGTGGGAATCCCTGCGTTTTGGAGAATATGGTAATGTCCATGGACACTGGGTAGAGCGTGTTGGGGACTACTCACCCTGTGTAGCTCAGAAATCTAAAGGCTTGGGAGCTTTTGGCAGTCTTCCTGTGAAACAGAAAGGGGTGTGTTTTAGGGTCTGAATATCACTTTCCTGGGGGCAGGAAGGAAGTACTTCAAGGCCAAAACACTCACTTTTGTGGGAGAGAAAATGGCAGAAGCCAGGAGAAGCTCTTCTACCAGAGACACTTGTGATCCCACCTGCAGGACTGCGAAGCCACCTGCTCCTGCTGAGATCCCAGAGATCTCACCTCACCTGCCCACACATTAGAAAGAGGGGGCGAGTCTTGTCTGGGAAGGTGGTCCACAAGGAGGTAAAAGCCTGTCCCTGTCACTCGGCCATTCTGACTGGAGTGTGCATCCCCTCTGAGGTCAGGTTAACTATACACTTGGCCCCATCTAGCTTGTGGCTGTCCCAGTCACTCAGACATGAGGTCATCACCACCTAGATAGAAGGCTTCAGGCCAGCAGCTTGGCTTACAAGGCCTACCTTGTAAGACCCCGTGTCACATCCGTCACATCCTGAGTCAGAAGCAGCCCTCAGCTATAAGCATATGAAGAGTTGAAGGTGGCCTCCATAGGAGCTGCTAGTGCCAAGCTACTCTTCTGGAACAGTGTTAGTACAACTTCACCACAAGAGGGCACCAGGGCAAACGCAAGAGTTATGGTTAGAAATCTGGATCCACATTCCCTGTCAGGCCATCCAAACAACCCATGGCTCTGGGCCCAGAGAACTGCTCACTTCTAGGTGGCTGAAGATCTCTGAGGGGCTGACAGTTAAAAAGGACACACAGTTGGCAGAGCTGGCTGTGGAGTGCCTTGGGAATTTCTAGAAATCTTAAGTAATTGTTTGTCTTCAGGGAAGATGAGCTCAGGAGAGGGCTTTTCTTAGCCTGTTACTTGATACCCATGAGTCACTAACTTAAGATAGTGCCGCACACAGCATGTCTGCAGGACTCAAGGGAAGGCCTTTCAGTGCCCAAATCATAGCGCTCTTAGCTTGCAGGACAGAAATGGGCCACACCGCATGTGGACCAAGTCTGCGTCATTCTCATTTATAAAATGGACAGTTAGAGGAGTTAAAGTGACAGCAGCTGGGGCGTGTGAGGCTCTGTCCTCTGCACCAGGAGTCCTAACACCTCCCCTGCCCCCGTCACCACTGCTCTCAGTGTGCTTTTGCTGTGGCGCTCCCTTCTGGAAGCAGAGACTGTGTGTGAGCCATGTCCTCTTGGCCATTCCCTAACTCATTCACTGCTGTTGGGGACTAGAGTCTTCGGTGTCTCCAAAGCAATGTCCCTTTGTCAAGGACTTCCCAAGTCCTCCTCTCCTAGACTATCTTCCCCCATACCTGCTGCTTTTTAGTTTTTCTTGTCGATGTTTTCAGTTGCTGCTATGACAAACCACACAGGCTTCGTGCCTTATGACAAACCCATTGATTTAATTTGTAGTTCCTCCGGAAGTCTAACCCAGTTCTGTTGGGTTAACACGAAGGCACTAGTAGGTAATAAGGATGGTTGTTCTGTTACCCTGCCACCCTCTAGTTCTCTCTGGGTCCCTTCGCTCATGATTCTCTCCCTCTACTTTCATAGCCAGTAGCCAAGCTCTTCTCGGGGCATACCAGCCTGACTTCCTACCTTGAAGGGCCCCTGTTATTCCCTCATTGTACCTGGACACTCCATATATTCCACTTAGAGTCTGAATCACAACCTTGATTCTATTAACAGCCAGAATGTCCCCCTTGGCTAGGTCATAGCACATGTCGTGGGTTCCAAAGACTGGGATGTGAGCATCTTTGCAGGGCCAGTATTCTACCTTCCACACCTGTGAACTTGCCTGTCCAGTTGAGGCAGGAGCTCCATGTAGGCCCCACAGCTCTCGGGCAAACAAAGAAGAGGGGTTTGCACTCTAGATAGCTTGCTTGGTTCCTAGAAGAGATCTTGGGACTTGGAACATATGCCAGAGTTATTTGCTTTGAAGGGTGAATTTTAGTTTCTGAGTGACCCGTTTCTATAGTCTGCTGAACAAGCCTCTCATGCCCTGAAAACAAGGTGGACTTTCCTGTCTGCCCCATCTAATGCTTCCTTCCAGAAGCTTCTCAGCACAGAAGTCTATTTTTTGCCCCTATTCCTACAACTTAGCCTGAGGGAATAATTTATCAGAACAAACCAATGTCCCTGAGGCTGACCACTATACTAGAAAGCCGACACATGGCCATTAACCGTATTTGTCCTGTAGAGACCAACTTGAGGGAGCATTTGAAAAACTCTCGGAAGGAAGAGAAATAAGCAAACAAACTGTCATGTGTGCACTCAGTCCAGCGTCAGTGACCTGTGACCACTGACACAGGAGGAGAGGGTGTGTGGGTGGATCAACTGAACACGGGTGCTTTTTTTCATCTTTAGTGGTTTTGAATATTTTTATTTTAGTTTCAAAAAACAGAAGGCAGTGGCAACTCCACTGTATAGACAAACTTACAAAGAGGAGGAATCATTTCTCTTTTGTCACTCACAGCTCACAAGCAAATGGAATGAAGTTATGCTATGACAAGTGAGTGTCCTTGTAAACAAATGGTGTCACTTGTCTGCTGGCCTCCCGACATTTCCCAGGGGTGCTTCCTTCATGGCTGTCACCATTCGTGCCTTAAAGTTTCAGCAAATAGTTTCCTCTCCTGTTCAAGTGACCTTTTCTCAGTAAGGTCAGGTGATTTACCAAAAGCATTGCAAAACTTGTATTATCAGCTTTTCCCGGAGGGTTGGTCCTTCTGAGGTGTTTTGCTGCAACTCAGATGCCCTGCCTCCCTGCCCTGGGGCAGAAGTAAATAGGAAGGCGTTAGAACAGGCCCCTAGTGTGTGTCTGTGTGCTTCCTGCCCGCCTCCTAGCCTTGTCCCGAAAAGGAAACAACAGAGTCTGGTGTTCATCCACGACAGCTATGTAAAAGCATTCTCTTGCTTCCACTACGTTCAGCTTGCAGGCCCAGGCAGAGCTGGGGGCCTGCAGCAGGAATGCCTGGGGTTGCTATGGAAACAGAAGAATCCAATGAGAAGTTAGAGATTTCTCTGCAGATCAGATTCTCTTCCTGAAATGTGAATTTGCCCCTGTTGTGGTCAGTGGAGCACAGCCTGCTCTGGTTGTGCCCTGGCACCGGCTCTCCGCCTTGGAGGAGGCCTCTCATAAGTTTCTGTGCTCCCTTAGATCATGCTCTGGAGAGGCTGGTCCTCCACCATTCTTTGAGTCCGTTTTTGAAGCATTCTAGGGGTATTTTGGGGCCCGATCCCCCATTGTGGACTGTTGGGCCCATCCCAATCATTTCCTAAGCATAGCCACTGACAGACTCACAGACAAACCTCAGTCGTAGCTGCTGACCTCATCCTGTTTGCACCCTTGTGAGGGCTTCCCTCTTCTTTGTCCTAGCCAAGGTTAATATGTTGCCCCCAAAATTTGTTTTGTTTTAATTCTTTAAAAAGGCCCTGGAAAGCATCAACTTGTCGTTCCTTTACATGAGTTCAGTCGGAATCTGACTTCTCCAGGTCCGCTTGATGTTCTCGGGACTGAGAAATGGGTGGCGGGAGGAGGAAGTGAACAAAGAAGTTGACTACTGCATTTCTAACTGCAGTGCCAGCCTCAGTAGTGGGCAGGGAACGGAAGGGATACACCAGTCACTGGGGAGTCAGCTGTAAATGGTAGTAGTGCTCTCGCTTCACCCAGAGAGCCAGCAGTCAGCTCTTGCTAACTTTAGTGCCTCTTAACTGTCCTACGAGTTTTTGAAAGAAAAACATTCTGGTATGTCCAAATTAGGAATTCTGGCTTTCTTCAAAGCACTGCCTGCTTAGGAATGAGGTGCTTTGTAGAGCGTTAGGGACTCATGAAGTACCTTAGAGCCAGGGTTCTGGGATGCAGCTAGGGGTACAAGCTGCAAGGGGGTGGTGGGTGGTCGTTGTCCTACTCAGCTTCTGGGCCCATGTGACTAAGCACCTCTCTGTCCCTGCAGGAGACCCTCTGCAGTGTGGGGCCTGGGTGGGGCAGTGTGCCCTTTACATCGTGATCATGATCTTTGAAAAGTCTGTCGTCTTCATCGTCCTTCTCATACTGCAGTGGAAAAAGGTTTGCCTCCCCTCTGCATGTGCAGCTCCCTGCTGAGCCATCAGACAGCATCTCACATCACCCCAGCCCCAGCCTGCTTGTTTTTGTTTTAGCTCCGTGAAATCCTGGATTTGGTCCGATAGAGCAGCTCTTTACAGAGCATTAATCTGTCGTTCTTGTACTGGCGTTCGTGCACTGCCTGTGAATATGTGTCTTCTCTCGACTAAACTGTGGGCACATGCAAATGTAATGGAAGCACAGTCCCTTCTGGGGTGTTGCTTGGTCTGGTTAGTCTTCAGACTTTGTAACTGTGACTGTGTCTACCTGGCCAACGTCCTTCACACATGTGTCTGGGCTAGGCAGTTCAGTTTCTAAGGTCCGTCTCCACCTATCCATCATACTTCCTGGGAGTATCCCCAATCCTGCCCTCTGTTCCCTGACCCCAGTGCCAGCCCTGCCCACTGCCCTCTGACCCCAGTGCAACTAGATACACCTATGCCACTCATTCCTGTATAAAATAGCCAAGGAGCCTTCTAACATGTGACTCAGATATTGGCTTTTTTTTTTTTGGTTTTATCTGTGACTGAGGTTTTGCTTTTTTTAAGAAAATAAGCCAAAGTCTTTCAGAGCTGCTGTGCTCCAAGGTGATTGCTGTACAGGATTTCCTCTGGAGAGTGGTCTAGCACCTCACTGTCCAAGTCTCTCGTGATCACCCACTGAGCTTCCACGGCTGCTACTCTCCAGGGCTTCAGGCTGCTCCCTACTGGATTGGGTCCCACTTGGGTCTGACTCGGTGGCCTCAAGTCTACAACAATGGGAAGCTGCTAAAGGGTACATGACCCAAAGTGGCTCTGAGGGTCCCTTATCAGCAGTCAGATCTAGGGTCCACACCACTGTGAGCTCTTGGGTAGTGTCTGAGTCTCTGTGTGCTGTTGTGTGGTCTGCTCCTCACTGTGTCTGTTTCTCTCTGCAGGTGGCCCTATTGAATCCAATTGAAAACCCAGACCTGAAGCTGGCCATCGTCATGCTGATAGTTCCCTTCTTTGTCAATGTCAGTGCCTTGTTGCGTGTTTTCCCCCAGCTTGTACCCTGCCTGCAAGGGTTCCTGTTCAAAGCCCCAAGTGTGACACAAAAGTCACGTTGTAGCCCCCATGCAGACCTTTCTAGGTAGCCATTCCATAGCCAGTCTTGGAAATGGTGGGAGTCCTTCCTCAGAAGTCAGGTACCCGCTTCAGGGCCCCTGTTTCAGATGAGGGATCCTAGGAAGTATGGCTTGCCTTCCTTGCTATGCTACTTCCCACTGAAATATCCCAGGATATGTGTAACTTCTAGATCAGGATCATTTCAAGTGTTCTCCAGATATTTATTGCTGAGTACAGACATCAGAGAAACTCTTGAGCACAGTGGTCAAAAGTGAGGAACCAGTGGTGTAGAGTGCTGAAGGAACCGGGGGCTCCCTGAAGCAGCAGACTGTGTGGCCACCTGTGAAGGACCCATGAGGGCTCAAAGCAGGTGGTTAAAGACCTTGGTTCTAGGCTCAACACAGGCTACCTGGTTCGTTTCGTTTTTTTGAGACAGGGTCTCACTAAGTAGTCCTGGCTGTCCTGGAACTGCTATGTAGACCAGACTGGCCTTGAACTCTTAGAGATCCACTGCCCGATGGCCTCCCCAGTGCTGGGATTAAAGGTGTGCGCCATCACACTTGGCCTCGGGCTGCCTGTTATTTAATACAACAAAAACCCACGAGTGAGCACAGCAAGAATTACCCCGCTGTTCTCTGGTAATAAAGGCACAGCATAGGAAACAGAGTGTTCCGGGAGATAGTCAGGACTGAGTGAGGTTCTCTTTTCTTACCTCTATAGAAGGGTGGCTATGGATCCCTCCGCTTTGCTTTGTTCTGGGTGATCCAGAGTAACCTGCACTTTTCTTTCCCACAGGCTTTCATGTTCTGGGTAGTAGACAATTTCCTCATGAGAAAGGGAAAGACGAAAGCTAAGCTAGAAGAAAGAGGAGCCAACCAGGACTCAAGGAACGGGAGCAAGGTTCGCTACCGAAGGGCAGCATCCCATGAGGAGTCTGAGTCTGAGGTAGGGGTCTCCTTGGCTCTCCCCAAGGGAAAGTCGTGCCCTAGCCATCATAACTTGGAGGGTCTCAGGTCTCATGTTTGCATCTCATCTCCTGAATGCTGATTCACAGCACTAGTCAGAGAGGAGGAAAAAGCTGAGCCCAGGTCACTCAGAGCCATCTAGCCAGAGCCCAGTGCTGTCTTATGTGCCTTCCCAGGGTAAAAAGATGCTGTGTGTAGTCAGGGTGACTTGCTACAGATAGTCCCTGTGGACTAGCAGTAGAGACAGCCAGGTAAGAGGAGATAAACCTTATTCCAGGAAAGCATGAAGGTACCTAGAGCCCTGTCCTCTACTAACAAGCAAGGGAAGTACTGACTGCAAGCTTTGAAAATATAAGACTACCTCACAGAGATAACCTCATCTCCCTTTATCTGCTGCAGTCTAAATTCTAGGGCTTGATGTAAGGAAGCAGCACAGATGGATGCAACCCAGGGCAGGGGTATGTGCTTTAGCTGGTCTGCAGCATTCATAGCACTTTTGTGCCCTAGCGTGTTGCAGTGTTGCAGTGGGGTTGGCTGGCCTGAGGAGACTCCGTAGTATCGAGCACTGTGCTGCTATGGGAGCGGCAGAAGTGGCCGAGATTAGCAGACTTGGTGGTACATGGCTTAAATTCTGCACCTGGATAGTAGAAACACTCAGATCTCTGTAAGTCTGAGATCAGCCAGGTCTCCATATTAAGTTTCAGGCCAATATGGGCTTTTTAGTGAGATCCTATTGAGAAAGAGAGAGAGAGAGAGAGAGAGAGAGAGAGAGAGAGAGAGAGAGAGAGCGCGCGAGCCTCATTCTCTGAGGCTTGAGGATGAGCCGAAGAATGCACAGATGGCTCATCATCACATGGTGCAGCCTGCAACTAAGGCATAGGCAGCACCCCTGGAGAGCCCTGGGCAGGCTGGGTTGACTTTTAGAAGGTGAGTAGATTAGACAGAGGGCAAGCCCACAGTTTCTCCAAGTTTCTGTTCTTAAAATCTGGTTACAGCCCTTACTGCATCATAAGACTTGTCAAACACTTGATGAATGACAAATAGCCATCGAGCAGGAGCTATAGCTCATGGGCATTCACAACCACACGGTTTGGCCTCTGATAGTAAAGTGAAGTTCGCATTGGCCAAAGCAGGGAGCGAGCAAGCCACAGGAAGGATGTTGAGCCTGTTTGCCCCAACTCTGCAGCTGGAGTTTACATTCCCCATGGTTCTCAGAGGTGTGAGGCCAGCTGCTATGGCAGGAATGAGCAAGTTTGTCCTTAGTGTCTCAGCTGAAGTGACAGAGTTGGCTCAAGACAGCCCCTTTGGAGCTGCATGCCCTGTATGGTCCCTGGAATGGTTTTATTCCCTTTTGGAAGAGACCCTGTGATTCCATGCACCCAGGTGACTTTGATAGGGTTTGGGTCTGACTGGAAGTCGGATGAAGGCATGGGGAAGGGAGCATTAGTAAATAGAGGAGGGGTGGTGACTTTGATGTTAGCTCCAGCAGGCCAGCAATCTCACTGGGGAAGGGGCCTCTCCAGGACCCTCTTCTAAAAATGTAGGAGACTTGAGGCCTCTAAGAAAGATAGGCACAAAAGGCGCTTCTACCACCGGCATCTTAGGCCTTGTCTCTTCACTACCTCAGGTCCTGATCTCAGCTGATGATGAAATGGAGGAGTCTGAGGCCGAGGAGGACCTCCGCAGACTGACCCCCCTCAAACCTGTGAAGAAGAAGAAGCACCGCTTTGGGCTACCTGTATGACACGTTCCCGCGCTGCGGATGACAGTCATGGGGCCCAGCCCTGCAGCAGCATCCCTTCCCTCTCTCTACCCTCCTCTCTACCTCCACTCCTCTTGCTGTCTCTGCCCGCTCTCCGCCCGCCCCAGACTACTGTGACTGAAAAGAGGGAAGAGGAACCGTGCCCGAGGGGCTGTGGGCAGCTGGAGGTCCCGCTCAGTTGCACTACAAACACTGACCAAATATGCAAGCGAAGAGCTTTGTTTGTTGTCGTCCCTTTGGGGTGTTGTGAGACCCCTGTCCTGTGTCTGACCATGTGGCATGGTGGAAGAAAACAGCACACACAGACTGTCGGGCCCTCGTGCTGAGGCTTGGGCCTTGTGGACATGTGAGGGCCTGGGGTCAACAGCCACTGGTTGACCCAAGTTGGAATAGGAATGCTTTCTTACTCAAAAGGCTTTTGTAACTCTTTATTTCTAAAGCCAGTTTTATGAGCTGTGACAGTGTTACTGTTTTTTGAGTATGTGTTTATTTCCTACAAAGTATCTCTGGGTCTAACGGGCAAACAGATTTTTAAGTCTTCCGTACGCTGTTTGACTTTTATATTTTTAAGTTATATTTTCATACTACTGTATTTAAAACTCTTTTTACTCCCCAAAGAAATGGATTTCTTTGCCTTTCATGGGGTATGAGCTGGTGGGAGGCGGGTAAAAGTCGGTAGTTTTTCAGCCGGGAGTATTGTTAGGTAACATGTGATGACGAGATGAAGGATCTAATGGGAAGGGTAGACAACCTTTATCTGTGGTCAGAAATCCAGTGTGCTGAGGTCAGACCTGAGCAGGACGCAGCTGTTCCGAGTGGACCTGTGCTCCCGTGTGTGGGAACAGAGCCCTGCCAGGGCGTACAAGCTGGCTTTGATTAAACTTGATTAAGGAAGGAGCTCAAGAGTTAGACATTTGTGTCTGGAGGACTCGGGGCCACCAGGCTACTCCTGTTGGTTTCCTGCCTCTCAGAGCCCCCAAGTCGCAGACGTGAGAATGGTCTCAGCCTCTGCTTCCAGTGCAGCAGCTCGCAGAGCCAGCCTTTGCCTTGGCGCCTGTCACCAGCTGTCACCTGCTCGCTTGCTCAGCTGTCTGGGGAACTCTACCAGAAAAGCCCGTTGTCATGTCTTCTAAAGTTGTGAAGTAGCAGGGGCAGAGCAGACACCATGAGAGCTATTGTCTTACTGTGGAGAGAGTATGAGTTATTTCTAGACTATGGCTCCTCCTTGGTGGTTACACCCACTTCTCGGCCTGGCCACAGTTTATCTGGTGGTACAGGCTGACTTGGCACTATCTGCTGTAGAGGCAGCAGAGTGGAGCTGTCTGGTGGCTTGTCAGCCCAACAGGCAGGCACAGTCTCACTACTTCATGGTGTGGCAATCACAGAGGAGGAGACTCTCCTCAGACTCTTGTAAACCTACGTAAGAATGTGTTTTGCTTAAGCACCCAGGATCTAAATATGCTTGTGGCATGTGACCCAAGCCCTTATCCAGGGTACCTAGGGCTGTCCTCTGCCACTCGAAGTCTTACTTGTCCTAGACAAAGGGTGTACTCTGAGGTCTCTCCCTCAGCTCACCTTCCAGTGCAAGCACCACTGAGAAAGGAGAGGTTGTTGTTGGAGGCTTCACAACCGGGTGAGGCCGAGGCCATTGACCTGTGAAATGGATTGGTCAGGCCCTGCGCTGTTCCTATTTCCTTTCCATCCTATAACCACGGTCATTCCCTTCCCCTTCTCTAGGGAGGTTCCACGGAGTGTTGTGGGTAGAGTCCAGCTCGAACTCCTGACGAGCTGGATGGTCAGTTCCTGGCGGCACTGCTGATGTTATCCGACACCCCTCCTGTATCACTGTGCTAGAGATAACCAGTGCTGCCCCGACCCTGCCATCCTTCCAGAGCTCAAGGCTGCAACCTCATTTTCAGACTTGGGCACCTCGGGTTTGCAAACCAGCCAGAGGCGAGGGAGCCGCTGCAAAGGGTGGGAGCTCCAGTTGCACAGGCCACGCAGAGGTGATCTGTAAGGTCCTGGCAAGTACAGGGCCTGAGGGACAGAAGAGTGGAGTGAATAGGTACTTCTGTGTCCTGATTTTCACTACGGGCTCTAGTCTCTGAGCTGAAGCTGTGCAGCTGACCCAGCAGGAAAGGAGGTCCAACAGGGATCTGGTACTGGCCCCTGTCTGTGTGCAGGTTTGGTGTGTGTTTGCTCTTCCCCTCTTCCAGTGTGCATGTATGTATGCACACATCAGCAAAAACAGACACTCACACAGTTCTGCATCCCTCAGGAGAGCCTCCCAGGGTCACCAAGGCCTTTCTGTTACCGTGGTGCACTGCCTCACTAGGGTGGATGTAGAGGGCTCTCTGGTCGAGACGTCTTCTGAGCTGTCCTCCCTCCCTGGAATGAGTGTCCCCATCACTTGTTCCAAGGTGCCTTATGAGGTGGGACCCTTTACTGGCTAATGGCAGGTATCACCAAGCTAGGAGAAATAAAAACGAGTATTCTCTTAGCTGTGGTGTGCCGTCAATCTGATTCATCCAAATTGATATCTTTGCCAAGCTGCTCTTGGTGGAAGCTTGCAAGCCAAGGCACTGAATGAGTTTTTGTAACTAACTGCAATAAACCAATGAGAGAGAAGCCAGCACCTAACTCAAAGAGATTGTGATTAATTTCTTTTTTTCATTCCATTTGGCTCTTGGTGGGACTTTGATAAAGGTAAGGATGAATGGAGCGGTCCTATGTGGTGGTGACTTCTCAGTCTGTGTGCCAGAAGGTGTGTCAGGGAGGAGCCTGTGGCCCCTCAGCCCTGAAGCATGTTGGTAGCTTCCTGCCTCAAACTTTAAACTGTGAACTACCAGGCTACAAGGAGCCGGGTATTCACATCCCTTCTGGTGCCTCTTTCCTCAAGGAAAACAAAAAAGCTCAAATTCAAGTTGTACCTTCCCTTTGGCAGCTCAGGCTACAGCTCAGGGTCCATATCTGAAAGGTGCCCTGGTCTACAGCCATACCACCCTGAAAGCGCCCGATCTCATCTGAAAGGTGCCCCAGGACCCTGGAATGGGCAGACCCAGACTGTTCTTCCTGCCAGGCAGCAGCCACTTTGTAGAATGTGAGCTAGCTCTTAAATCAGTGGTTCTTAACCTTCTTAATGCTGCAACCCTTTAATGCAGTTCCTCATGTTGTGGTGACCCACAACCATAGAATTATTTTTGTTGCTATTTCATAACTGTAATACTGCTATTGTTATGAATTGCAATGTAAAGATGGTCTTAGGTGACCCATGGAAAGGGTCACCAGGTTGAGTATCACTGTCTTAAATGAAGTTTCACACAGCTTCCAGTGAGAGGCTTGTTCCACAGTGAGGGACCTATGGTCAGCCTTTCTTTGAACAGCCTGAGTTCTGAGTGGGTAAGTGGATTGGTTGGTTGGTTGGTTGGTTGGTTGCCTGGCTTGGTTCTTAACTTTTCTTCCCATAATATTTCTTAGAGGTCAGCACTGTGAGAAGAAAACCATTGCCACCTCAGCTGCCTGTCCTTTGGGGTGTGTCATCACTGGTGCTGGGAGTCACAGAAACACGTGTTTCGGACGGAAGGGAGGACAGTGGACTTGTAAACTGGTCTACAATAAAATCTCACATCTCATTACATTAAAAAGAAGAAGAAAGAAAGAAACCATTGTTTTTTGTGGTCGTTGGTTTTGTATCCTCTAGAACTGAAATACCTCATTGGGCTAATAAACCTTTTACTGTATCGTGGCAGCTGTGGGGTCAAATCTGCAAGGAAAGAAACCAAACATAATCTATCTTCCCTCCTGATGAGTGTCTAAGTCAGTTTGCCTCTTAGTGCTGTGTTTGGGGCTAAGAGAGAGGTGAGCATCCTACCACCTTGTCCTTGAGGCCAGGACTAGGCAGAGCTAGCTGTGGGCATTCCTCACAGGGCAGGGCCTGGCCTCACTTTGGAGTCACTGGCGTTGCTCAGGTCAACACTTACGCAACCTAGACCTGGCAGTGCCCACATTGACCTGCCGGGAACCAGGGCCAGAACAGAGGCTGGTATGGAGTTTGGAGTGATGTTTAGGATAACTGTATGTTAGTGCCTGGTTGGATGTCATCTGCCTGGAGCCGTCGGGGATAAGAATAATGCCCATGGTAGATTGGAGGGAGCTGAGATAGGTCTAACAGAGACCGACATCTGACCCATATCTACCATTGCCCCGCCTCGGGCTTAGGGTCCCTCATGTGCCCAAGGTGATCTTTCCTTGCAAAATGAGGCTGTCAGGATTACTAAACAGCTCTCCAGAGAGCCTTGCCCATTTCCTTACAACTTAATGCTGAACCTTACAGCCCAAAGTAGCAGTGCTTCAGCTGTGCAGTTCCCATCTTAGGCAGAAGCCCTCTCTAGACCTTCATCAGCAAGCATGGTTTTCTCCTGGTCCCTCCTGCCTTGCTTTGTCCCTTTGCTAGACTTGTCCCGCGGCTGCATAGAGGACCATGGCATCAGCAGCACTGACAGCAGCTCCCCAGAATCTCCTCAGCCTCAGGGTCTCCGCTGTGAATCAGCTGTGCTCACCATGAGGAAATGCTTCCAAGAGACCGGAAGCTTCTACCCTGCCAGTGTATCGAGATGGAAAATCTCTTTCCACTGGACTCCAGGGGTAGAAGAGAAAGATAAACAAGCCTAAGTATCCACCCTGGTTCAGGGCCCTCCCTTTCCTCAGAGAGTTCCCCTCCCATCCTGCCACTGGGATGGGTTCTTGCAGTCAGCCTGCCCACACCGTCACACACATTCCAGGGTTCACATTCATAAACACAGTCTGGACTTGGTGCCAGCACCTCCCACCTGCAAGTGAGCAGCTGTTCCCAAAGGCATGGGGTACCCCCAGCTGTCTATTTTTCACCAGGACTGCTGCCCATCATCTCCAAGAATAAACACCAGCTAGTAGCTGCGTGGATCTGAATCATGTGGGAGCTTCCAAAGGAGGGGAGTGACTGCCCAGGACACGCAAGCAGGCTATATAAGTTCCTGAAGCTTGGACTTCACACAGATCTCTTCCTGTGGCTACTCCCTGCCAGAGAGTTACCTACAGAGAACTTACTTGGCATCTACCATGTCTGAGGTAAGAAGACCTAGTGGGGGCTAGCTTGTGCCAAGGAAGTTGGGAGGGGCAAGACTGGACACTTAATTGGTGGTGTCGACTTTGAACTAAAAGCCAAACCTAACAGCCTTCCTGTGGCCCTGGAAGGCTGGGCTCAGTGAGGACACCCTGGTCCCACCAGGCTCTGGTGAATGGCCTTGGTTGTCCCACAACTTGTGAGGTGTTTGGGGGTGGGGAGAACTTAGGTAGACTGGTGTGTGCTTTTGAATGTGTATGGAGGAGCTGGCTTTGATAGCTTAATGCGTCCAGTTGTATATATTAGTCACCTGGAGGAAGAGTGACTGTGCCTATAGGTCACAGCTGTGTCCTTCTGTTTCCCTAGCAGGGTGTATCTCTGGGAGGCCTGTTTTCCTGGGAGCCCTGCCCAGGCAGAGGGAGGGAAGCCCTGCACCTGCCTGCAGGGCTTAAGAAGGACTAAGGCCTCTACCTCACAGGCGCCTGGGGTTGATGGGAAGGAGGGGTTAGCAGAATCTGACTTTCCTGGCTCTACTGGGACAGACAGAATAGCAAGGTTGTGCTTGCTGCTTGCTCCATGACTGTCTACCCCATCCCTTATCCAAATACAGTAATCAAAAATGCCAGAGTTTTTAATTTGGGGAAAGGGTAAGGGACAGTCCTTATGGGACGCTCTGTTACCCAGTGAACAGGGCATAGAACTCACCCGATTTCCTAGGGCTGCTCAGTCTTGAAGGCCCTGTGCCCCTTGTGCGCAGTCCTGAATGTGGCAAACAGGCCAGTATGAGGATGCAGTGGCCACCACCCCCAGGAGCTCTCTATGGGCCAAGGTCAGATGTCCAAGTCAGACCAAGAGGGCAGGGGGACTTGTAGGGGCTAGGAGAAGAGTAGGCTTTGAATTGAGTTTGGTGGTCTGAGAAGATGAACCCCTGCCAAAGTTGAGGGGTTCATCTCAAGGCCCCGAATTGTAAGGTTCTCTGGGCTTTCCAAGGTTGGCACTGCCGAAGCCCCCATCAAGAAGAAGCGTCCCCCTGTGAAGGAAGAAGACCTGAAGGGGGCCCGAGGGAACCTGGCCAAGAACCAGGAGATCAAGTCTAAGACATACCAGGTCATGCGGGACTGTGGTGAGTGTGGTGCAGGCCCTTGGTAGGGCTGGGGACATCAGCATCTCCTAGTGGTAGCTGAGAGGTGTTGAGGGCTACTGGGTATAAGGGGCTGCACCCAGCATAAGGAGCCTTGTTCCTGAGAAAACCAGTTTAGGTGCCTGCTTCCACTCCTCTGCTCTTACCCACAGAGCAAGCTGGCTCAGCTGCCCCGTCTGTATTCAGCCGCAACCGCACAGGCACCGAGACAGTCTTTGAGAAGCCCAAAGAGGGACCTGCCAAGAGCGTCTTTGGCTGAGAAGTACACACTGCGCCACTCCAAACACCTGGACACAGGAGCCTTTCCCACGAGCTGTCTGTGTGTCTGTCTGTCTATCTATCTACTATCTATCTATATCTATCTATCTTTTTTATAATGCTGGAAGATGCCTTTTCCCTGCTGTCTCCAGAACCATCATGACTCCCACAGCCCTGGCCCTTCTTTACCATCTTGGAAACACCAATAAAGAGGGTGCCTGAGTGGATTCATTCTTGGGACGTTGTCAGTTGGTCAGTGGCCATGGCCACTAACTGCCAAAGGAGAGCGGGAACTGTGGGGATGTAAGATATTCAGTGCCCTTCCTGGGCTCTGGGGAGGGTGGGGATAATGTGTGTGCTTTCAGGGCCTCTGGGATGTACTAAAAAGAACCTTAGACATGGAGATGTGGTGTCGACCTGATGGCTAGACCTCTTTGCTCTCCTTGGGTTTTGTTGTTGTTTTTTGTTTTGTTTTGTTTTGTTTTGTTTTTTTCAAGACAAGGTTTCTCTGTGTAGACCAGGCTGGCCTTGAACTCACAGATCCACCTGCCTCTGTTTCCTGAGTGCTGAGATTAAAGGTGTGCATTACCATGCCCAGCTTCTGTTCTCCTTTCTAATCCTCCATTTCAGGGCTGGAAAGATGGCTCCACAGCTAAGAGTATTTGATGTGTCTGCAGAGGACCCTAGTTTAATTCCTAATACGCACATGGTCGCTCACAACCATTTAACTCTGTCACCCTCTTCTGGCCTCTGTGGACATTGCATACATGTGGTACACCTGCCGTCAAAATCGTCATATACCTAAAATAAAAATACAATTTAAAACTAGCCTCTGGTTTCCCATCAACAGGATAGTTGAGTTGATGCCTATCCCGGAGGCAGGTCACAGTGGCACTTCTCAGAGTGAAGTCCCTCTGTCTGCCACAGAAGCCTTGAGGTGTTGCTAAGGTTCCCAAGGCCCATCCCCTTCCCATTTGTTAGGCTGCTGCTTTACTGTGTCTCCATCTCAAAGACAAAACTAGGTATGGTTCCTCTGGCCAGAGGCAGTGAGTTTCTTGGCCTCCCCCACCACACTCTGCTGCCGGTGTGTTGTCTGGGTGGGGTGTGACCTCTTCAGACCTGTGTCCTGTGTCTGCTGTGTCAGATTGAGGAGACAGCCTGCCCGCTGGGATGGCAAGACCACAGTCAGGCTGACAGTGGCTCCTTCTGAGAGCAGGGCCTGGCTTGTGGATGATCCTGCAGGAAAGCCCCTCATGTGCCCTGGGCAGCTTTCTTGGGGCATTTCTCACGTCCTAGCCAGCCTGGCCTTATATAGCTCTGGCTCCTGGCTGGGTCTGTGCTCTGTGTCCCAGAGGAGCAGATCTTCTGTGGGGACAGAATCTGCACTTGTTCATTGGACCACTGAAGAACATTCATTCAGAACCTGTGTCCCCTGTTTAACCCCAGTCCCATCCAGAGCCAAGAGGGTGAAGTGCACAGAAGTGTGGCCTTGGGCCATAGCCTTGCAAAGAAAGGGAAGGTTTTAGTGGAAGCAACAGAAATTGTTCCTGGGGCCAGACACCACCAGCCTTGAGCTAAACTGCAGAGGTAATAAAGAGCGCACCAGCGGCCGGCGCCCTTTCCTGTCTGACACACCAGCGGCCGGCCGCCCTTTCGTGTCCATAGGCCCAGGAGTGGCCTTTCCACCACCGAAGGATATCTGCACCAGCCTCACCAAGTACCCACTGTCTGCTCACTTTATCACTGTTTGTTATAAAACAAAACAAACAGTACTTCAGCTTTATAAAGGGCTTCTCAAGAAAAGCCACTAGTAGCACAGTGCGTAAGAGACTCTCATGACCCTGGTGTAACAGAGTCAGGCCACCTACTCTACCTGTATCCAACCTTCAGGAACCCTGTGCACCTCCCTCCTGTGGGTCCCCCCTTCCTGCAGACTCCAACACTGGAGCTCTAGGCTCAGGGTCTGCATCTTGACAACTCATGGGTGTTGTCAAATTGCAGACCTGCTTGGGGGTCTGCTTGGCTTGAACCTAAAGTCCCATTGCAGTAATAGGATCCAAACAGCAGCCTTGAACCAGGAAGTGAGCAGAGGCTCCTGGGCCCAACTCTTTTGCTCTGTTAGAGCCTGTGGGCCCCAACACAGATAACTATTTTCCCTAACTGGACTGGTACAGAGGCTCAAGGAATAACCGGACACTGCTTACACCATTATTACAGAAAGGGCGTCTCAGGCTTCTTCCTCCTGAAGATCTCCCCGCGTTTATTCTCCAAACATACACCAGCCTTCTGTCTCCTAGGCAACCTGGTGAATGGCGTTTTGTCACATCGGCATCTACCTGTCTGCTGTGCATGCTAGCTGTCACATAGGCTTATCTCTATAAGGCGTCCTCCAAATTACAAAGAAAGGAACAACAAACATCCTGACCTTTTGTTAGGCAGAGCCAGCCTGTCTGCAGGGCTATGTGATCACTTGTGATCACTTCGGATCGGGCCTATGGCTTTAACGCTTGGCAGCCACACCACATAGAAATATGGGCCTACATTGCTCCAAAAAGTGCACATCCTTTTTGGCATCCTCAGACACCTCTAGTGCTCCAGATGTCTCAGGGACCCCCAGACATGCCTACCTGGCTAGGAAGCCCCTGCCTCTTCCAGGAAGCCACCTGGGGTATCCTTCCAACCCTAGTCTCCCTAGTGAGGCCTCTATTTCCTCCCAGGCTAGACTCATGAAGAACAGACGGACCTCATTGTTGGGTGTCTCTGGCCCTGCAAAGCTTGGTGGATGACCTAGTGAGGCTGTGATTCCTGGAAATCTGGACCCTGCAGAAGGGGAGCTAATACCCAGCTCCAACCTGAGCCTGCCTTTGCTCGGGGTGTGTCCTGCTGTCATCAAAGTTCACCGGACATAGGTCATTTGTCTCTTTATCTGAGGCCTCTGAGATTTTTGGCTTGGAAATCCCATTTCCCAGAACTTGCGCCAGTAGGGGCAGGATACCCAGCAAGTTACCAGTTTATAACCCACCTGCTCTCAGGTTCAGAAACAGCCTGGCAGGCAACTGAAGGCCAATGAAGAACTCAGCCCCTGCCCACATGTGGGGCATCATGCTGATCTTGCCCTCGCTGCTGGCCGGGCTTCAGACCACCACTGCCAAGAAGGTAGCAGTATCCGTAGTTGCCTCTGTGTGTACTGGTGTGTGTGTGGTGTGAGCTGGGGGTGAGCAAACACATCTGGGAAGTGCCTCGGGGTATGCGTGTGCAGGTCAGTGTGTGTGTGTGTGTGTGTGTGTGTGTGCAAAGACATGGCCCCGCCCAGAGATCCTTGCAGGCTCCTTCACTTCAAAAAAGGAGTGATCCCATTCTTGCCACTTTATAGATGAAGGAGAGCTTAGGCGATGGCCCCTCGAGGCTGACAGCAGAGCCAAGTAGTTCAGAATGTGGCTGTATGAGCCCAGCTCCTCTGTTCCGGATGAGTGGCTTCTGGGAATTATTTATAAGTTCTGTCTATCAGTTTCCTCGTCTGAAAGGGAGTAATAATATAACCGACTCAGGGCTGTGCTGGTTGAAAACCAACCTCGTAATACTTGGAAAGCATTCAGTGTCTCCTGGGCCGAGCTGACATCTAAGCTGTAAACAAGGCAGGCTGTCCCTCTGTGTTAAACTGGGCAGGTGAGCGTGAGCGTCTGAACAGTCCGTGTGTGTGCAGCATGGCAGGGGAGCAGGCAGGGGAGCATAGGGCTGTATGTGGGCACCTATTCTTAAGGGATTACCAGCCTCAGCGCAAACGGTGTCTGGGGTGGGGTTGGGACAGAGGGTGCGCTGCAGGCATAACGGGCCAAGAGGATAGTCACCTCTCAGAGACCTGGTCCTTTACGGTTTCTCACAACTCCTGTGACCGTGTGATGGGGGTGGAGCAGGAGTGTTCTCCCATTTTCACAGAGCTCAGGATTTCCAAAACTCGAAGAACTTGTTCGCTGCCCTTTTACTAAGCAGAGCTCAGCCTGGACCCAAGGACTCCAGGCCTCTGTCTCTGCCCAAGTGTGATCCTGCCAGACTTGGCCCCTCACCCCATGTGCTTGCTCCTTCCCACGGGGGATTGGGGGCTCTCTCTGGAGGCTTGCTCCATGGTGCTGCCTTGTTGGGAGTGAGCTCACCAGCGGCCTCTGACCTCAGACAATGCTCACATGTGAGCCGGTTGACGGGATTCAACCTGGGCCTAGTCTGTATCTAGGTCAGAGGAAGGGCGGAGTTTGGTCTGGGAACAAGAGTTGGGGGTGTCCGTTAAACCACACAGCCTTCTCCCTTCCCTTGTCCAGAATGGCATCGACATCTACAGCCTCACAGTGGACTCCCAGGTGTCTTCCCGGTTCGCCCACACTGTTGTTACCAGCCGGGTGGTCAACAGAGCCGAAGCTGCTCAGGAAGCCATCTTCCAATTAGAGCTACCCAGGAAAGCCTTCATCACCAACTTCTCCATGTAGGTGTCTTCCTGCTTCTTCCAGCCCACAGCTCAGCCCTGCAGCTCCATCTCCTCTGAGCCTGAGAAATGTCACTGGGACACCCTTGTCCTGTCAGCCTCACAGGGAACATGGATGCTTCCAAGCCCAGAGACTTGTCTGTCCCTCCCGTGGTCCGGCCTCCTCACTAAGTACTTCTAGGTGGTAGACCATGAACCACAGCATCTGGGAGTCTTTGCCTTTGAGGAGTACAAGCCTGAGAAGATATTAGCCCTAACTCCTGGGGTCCCTCTTTGTCACTGCAGAGAGCAGGCAGGGCTACTGTGGACTCTGAGCTGGCAGGAGGCCTTACTTCGTCCTCTGACTTCCTTCACAGCCCTGTCCTGATCTGTTTTGCAATGTTTATTAAACTTGGGGAAAATCCATGTTTGTGAGGCAAGCATTGAAGGCGGGCTGCTCCCAGTAGGGGAAGCGCTTAGGGGTAGAGGCCAGCCAGAGCCCTGGCTAGTATGGGTGTTTCTGGAAAACTGCTGGGGTGGGGCTAGGTTCCCATTGGTTCGCTCCTCCCTTTCTCCCCACCCATCTCCACTCCAGCTTCTGTTTCCTGACTCTGGAGCCTAGGTCAGTGGGTCCCCAGATCTTTCCACTGAATGAGATGGAGAAGTGCAGGGGGGCTTCCCTGTCCCCTGCTCTGGCCAGGAACCCTGGCAGAGCATCTGGAGAAGCTGTGAACTTTCCATCCAGCAGAAGGAGCCAGGCTTCCCGTCCATCCCCATT